CAAAGCTACGTATGACAAACTCTGTAAGGAAGTTCCCAACTATAAGCTTATAACCCCAGCTGTGGTCTCTGAGAGACTGAAGATTCGAGGTTCCCTGGCCAGGGCAGCCCTTCAGGAATTAATGAAAGCTTTTTAAAAAATAAACTTAAAATTTTAGAATAGTTTTAGAAGGTAGAAAAGTCATAAACACAGTACAGGGAGTTCTTCAATGTCCACATTCAGTAGTTTCCCTATCACTAATATCTCATATGAGGTGTATATGTCACAATTAATGAATGATGCTGATATCATGAATTCAATTCCCTACCTTATTCAGACATCCTTGATTTCTACCTAATGGCCTTTTCTGTTCCAGGATCCCATCCAGGATGCCACATTACATTTGGTTGTCATGAATCTTTAGGCTCCCCTTGGCTGTGATAGTTTCTCAGATTTCTTGATTTTTGGTGACCTTGACAGTTTTGAGGAGCACTAGTCAGGTATTTGGTAGAATGTCCCTTAACTAAGATTTGTCTGGATGTTTCTCTGATGATTAGACTGGGTATAGGTTTTTGGGAAGAAGGCAACAAAATGCCATTCCCATCACATTGTAACAATGGTACATAATATCAACATGACTTATCACTATTAACGTTGACCTTGTTCACCTGGCCAATGTTTGGCATATTTCTCCAATGTAAAATTGCTCTTTCCGCCTCTTTCCATATCGTAATCTCTAGAAGGAAGTCATTATATGCAGCCCACACTTTAGGAGTGGAAAGTTATGTTCCACTTCCTTGACTGTGGAATACTAACATAGATTATTTGGAATTATTTTGCACAGGAGATTTGTCTCTTCTGTTTATTTATTTATTCAATCACTTACTTATGTCAGTATGGACTCATGGATATTTATGTTACACTTTGGGTTATAATCCAATAATATTTTATTTTATGGCTTAAATTGGTCCAATGTTGACCACTGGGGGAGCTCCCTCAGTGGGTTCCCTCTGACACATTCTCACCTCTTTTTTTTTTTTTGAGCACTTCCTAACTTTCTGGCACTACAGAACACTCTAGGCTCATCTTGAGTATTTCCTGCTCCAATCCTAAAATCAACCATTTATCCAACAAGTCCTGGTTCTTTTTATTGGATAATAATATTAGAAATTAAGATCTGAGCACTAAATGTGTTTGTAACAACTAGCTCCTGGGGTGTCCTTGTTTCTAGGCCATCTTAGCTGACAAAGCTAGGAAATACATATAGGTTTACTAACTTTTAAATGTACACGTATCCATAACTATTTCTACATGTATCCACCTGAATCCACGTTAAGCTTAACATGAGTTCATACTGATGTCTCCAGTTCTAACCCATAACCACATGGATTCTTCTAGCCTTAATGAATCATTTTTTTAAATAACAATACTGTGCCGAGCTATTGACAAAGATGACTTAATTTAATCCTGAACACAGTTTTGTGGGGAAATAGTATCGCTCACATTTAACAGATGAAAAAACTGAGGCACTGAAAGATGAAGTACCTTACCTAAATGCACACAGTAAGTGGTAAGGCCAGCATCTGAGCCCGTGTCTCTGAGACTCCACGTCTACTCAGTGATAGAGAACCACCATCTCCATGTTAATTTTACACTGAGAAAACTTCAGTTCTGAGCAATTTAAGGTGCAGATGTGTTTCCCAGCTCTCATCAAACCTTACCTCCTTAACACTCCTCCTGACCTCAACTCCCCAGGGTCCTCTCCCCACCTGAGATGCTCACTGGAAGACAAGTTGCCATGCTGCAACCAACTCGACAGCTCAAGAAAAGGTGTGCAGGAGCAATGGCAAGGATCAGCTCCAGCTCCCCCCTGACTTTTCAACCTCTGGCTAACCCCTGCTGTGTATTATCTGGGGTTTGGGGACTTGGTAGTAATTACCTCTGAACAAGCAGCTCTGCTTTCATGGAGTTAAAAAAAGAACAGCCTTTCTTTTCCTTGTTAATTAAATCATCCACAAAGAAGATAAATGTGTAGCCCACACTTGTATCTTCTAAAATATCAAAGGCCTTATTAGTACGTCTTATGTTCGACCTCAGCCTTTTTCTCCAGATTCCTGAAAGTAACAGGAACCCCGAGGTAGGAGGCTTCTAAGTATTTACCAATATTCATTCACTTGGTCATTCATTCATTCACTTTTTTTGAGTGATCTAGAAAGAGTCAACCTGGATCAAGCACAAAATGTTCCCGGGAATTTTGTCCCAGTTAACATACTGAATGGGAAACATCAGAAGTGAGTGAGCAGACAGGAAGAAAAAGAATCCTTTAGGTCATGTTGAAAGCCACTTTTTGAAAAGTCCACAACCCACTTTGGTCCCTGTGTTCTGTTCGGTGAATTTTTCCTGACAGTGGTGGTTTTATTTGCCAGAACCACAACAAAGGGGGTCCTTGAGTTTCCCTGGGAGTGTTTCCTCAGACCCGCACCTCTCCTGGACCTCACAAAGGTGTTATTGTTGCTGGGCTCCCAGCACCTGAGTGAGATCAAAGGCACTTGCCAATGCCGGCATGCCCACAGTCTTGCCCTCATGACATAACATTAAAGCCGATGATTAATCCCCTTGGCCCAGAAGGTCCCTTCCCACTCCCAAGTACAAAGCAGGGTGGGGGTGGGGACTTTATTTCCAGCACAACGTGACCATAATAAACGGGCATTTTCTGGCCCTCATTCATGGCAACCAACTGCAGCTGCCCATCAAACTCCTTAAAGTCCAAACAGTTGCTTCATGTGAGCCATTTCCATCACTAGGAAAGTTTAATAAGAATCCCCACCACTTCTGAGTGTTTTCTATGTGCTAGGTAATACATACGTAATGCACGTTACCCAACAACCCTGCAAGACGGGCATTATTACCCCTAATTTGATGGATGAAGAATGAGGCTCAGAGAAGTTAAGCAGCTCACTCAGGTTACAGGGCCAAAAAGTGCAAGAGCAGATGTTCAAACCTGCCTCGGCACGATGCAAAAGCCCATGCTCTCTCCATTCCTCTCTGGGTACGTTATAGTTATGCACAATACAGTGAGGCATTAACGAGTATGAGCTTTGGAATCAGAGCTAGATTTGAATTTTTTGCTCCAGAACTTTCATATCTTTGTGACCTTGGGGAAATTACTAGACTTTTCTATGCTTTAGTTTCCTAATTTGTAAAATGGATATGGTAGGAAAAGCCAGTATTGTCCCCATTAAGAGACAGTGAGACTGAGAAGCAAGGCAGCAACAGAGTCGCTCACATTGATTTAGATTCGCTTCTACTCAGAAATCTTAAATGAGTGGGATAAAAATGCCTGAAATTCAGACTTCACAGGAGAAGCCAGATTAGATATGTCTCTGTGAAAATCAGAGATGATTTGAATAGGTTTAAATCAGTATTCAGTGAAGACATGCTAACAAGTCAAGGAAAACCAAGGCTGGCTCCCTGTTTGGGCACCTCCCACTTAACGAGGCCTCAGGCCTCTGCAGATCTCCCCCTTCCGTGACAGCTAAGCCTTAGAGCAGGGCTGCTGAGCAGAAGAAATATGCTGTGACTTTTCAACCTAGACAAGTTCCATTTAAGTCTCTGCCCAGCGCCCAGAGAAACAAACAAAAGGAAATCTATTTCCTTCAAGTCTAGCACAAATGTCACCTCAGGAAGACTTCTCCAGCCCTGGGCCCTCCCAAGCAGTCTCCTTTCTGCTCCACAACCGTGCTAGTCACCAAGAGCAAACCCTTGTGCCGCCATCCTGAAACACTTTGTATCTCCTCATTTAACCCTCACAGCACAGGTGCTATCACTCTCCACATTTTGCAGGTGAGGCATTTGAGGCCCAGAGAGTTTAAGTACCTTGCCCAAGGGCCCATACTTAGCGACTAGAGGAAGCAGGATTGGAAACCCATTGGGCTGACTCCACCCTCTCTACAAAATGGGATGTTGTGTGTGAGAACACCTCATACAATGCCCGGCACATAACACATGCTCAGTATCAGGAGTTCAATTTGAATTTATATTGTGGGGCCTATTATAATATACTGTAATATCTATCTTATCAATGGAGGGCCTATATCGTCCTGATATCCCAGGGGTTTAGCATTGCCCAGCCACAAGAGCAGGAATCAATAAATGAGTAAATGTATTAATATTTACTCAACCAAAATATCTACCGGTACAAAAGGCTCAGTGGTCCCTGCAGTTACTACATGGTTTCACATCGTACATCATTTCCTCCATAGCGGATTCTGCCCTGGGCTGTATCCCACTCTGATCTCTGCTCATCTCCCCTCTCCTCCCCCACTCTCCCCTCTATTTTACTCATCTGGGAAAAATCCAAGGAGTCGTCGATCTAAGTTTAACAGAGTAATGACTTTTAAATAAAAATATGGTAGAAATGGGTACTTATCGGAATGGAATGCTTTCAGACTCATGCATTTAAAGAAGATATAAATTTTAGGGCAGGCACTAAATTTTAACTGCAATCTTGGAGAAAGCCTTTCCACTAATTCATGGAGAAAAATTAACAAAGTGAAAATTGCTTATCAGTGTTCTTTTGAAGTCATGATATGCAGCCTAATTCTATAGATCATCGGGACGCTCCCAGGGAGATGGATTTATATTGATTGAGAGAGAACTCAGCGGTCAAGGAAAACAGACATCCCTTTGCAGAAAAGACCCAGCTACCCATTAGGGACAAACCAGGTTGGGAGCACTAGGCTTTGCCATCTTTGGGTCCGATTGATTTCACCCCTCAAGTCTGGGAACTCTGGCCAGGGTGATGTCAAAGGCAGACTCAACCCTTTTCACACTTTTTAAGAATTTGGTCCCTGGAAAAAGATCCAACAAATGCAAGCAAGGCTACTGGAGGGAGGGCCGGGCTTCTGCTCAACAGAGTAGAGGGGCCAGACAGGGAAGAGAGGAAGGAAGTGGAGGGGGTAAGGAGCCAGCAGCTCACCCCCAGCGTGGGGCGGCCTTTCCTTTGTGCCCGGCGGACTCACCCCCATGTGACAAGAAGATGTTCCACAGATGACAGCCAGCCGTGACGTCACTGGCTGTCCCTCACAGACGAGGCCATGCCCTCTCACATCTGCCCCAATCACTCCTGTAAGAAAGGAAAACAAAACAAAATCCTCTTTAAAAAATAAAAAAAAAAAAAGGAAGGAAAGCTAAAAACAAACATAATTTTTTTTTTAATACCCAAACAACATGGAAGATGAGTCCCATGTGTAGGCCAGTCTCAAATGGAAACTTAAAGAGCCTACTTGCCTGTCATGGGAAAACTAGAAAACCTGTTCTGTTTTTGCTTTATTCTGGTCAACGCGTGGCAACCAACATTGAAATAACAATAGTAACTGTGATTATCATAATAAAAGCAGCAGCTATCAATTATTTTGTAGCTTACTAAATACCTGGCACTATACTACTTACATGGATGGTCTCATTTTATATTAACACTATTGAGGAGACGTTATTAATGCCACAGACGTCAGAGGAGAAACTAAGGTCTGCAGAGGTTAAGTGACTTGCCCGACCACACTGCTAGCAAGGAGCAGAGCCGCATGGAATCTGGTTTAACACGTCATATCTCAATCTCGAAGACAGCAAAAGCAAAGGAACTGCTTGATGACTGAGTCTTTTTGGCATCTCTAGGTCACCCTCCTTACTACTACTTATTACAGAACTCCAACTGTGGAGGAAAGGGTGACTGAGAGTCAATTCCTGTAACAGAAAGCCGCATGGCAGAGTTTCTCATTAATGGTAGAAACGCTGGCTTCTGCACACCGATTGTATTCCTCAACACTTGCTGGGCAAGTGAAGTTAGAAAAGTGATGACGGAGCTACGAAGACTGTTTAGAGCTTGAAGTTGACCCTCATTTATTCAAATACCCAACAAGCACTTTCTATGCACAATATCCCAGGTAGGATGTGGGAGCTGCAAACACATAGAACTATAACAGGAGGCGGCAGGTGGAAAGTGCTTGGGCAGGGTGCAGAGACTGGGACGCAGGAGAGAACTGCTCCTGCTGATCTCGCCAGCTCCAGGGCAATGCCCCTTCTGCGTTCCATCTCCAATACCTGATGCTCTTCCCACCTTGAGACCTTTGCATCTGCTCTTCCCTCTGCCTGGAATGCCACTCCTCAACCTCTCTGCCGGGCCAACTCCTATTTATTCCTGACTCAAATGTTACTTCCTCAGAAAGAGCTGTCAAATGGTCTCACGCACTGGACTTCCCTGGCACAAAAAAATACTGGTAATTTTGCAACATCACATGTCGTCTGCTTCCCCTTCTATGATAAAAGCTGTGAGGAGCTGATGCTATCTTACCCACAGGCTTAGCAGTTCAGAAGCTACCACAGTTGCTAGCTTGGGGCAGGAAGTGAGAGTATGAATGCTTGGGGATGCAAGGATAAGGAAGACAAGTTCCAGCTCCTAGGGTAGTCACAGCCTGGTAGCAGGAAGAGAGAATCCTAAAAAACGGAGCATTTCAGTGTAGGGGGATCGGTATAGGACAGGAGGAACCACAGGGGCCACAAGGGCAGCTAACAGACCCACAGAGGCTCAGGCAGGTTTCCCCAGATATTGAAGGCACTGGCTGCTGAGCTGCAGGGCTTTCTAGAATGTGGGAAAGAGGCCACAGCCAGGCTTCTTACAACGTTCTAGGTTTTTCCAACAGCTTTCTAGGGTTTTCCATTGCTTTTTCCAAATTCTACCTTCTGGGGCACAGCAACTTGTGAAACTGCTATTGTTCGGAGGCCCAGCAGCAGGGGGAAGTAAGATTCTTCCAAACTCTCTGTGTGGCTTACTGCAGTAGTCAGAGCCCAGCAACCAGGCAACAGAAGCCTGAGACTTGAGCCTGCAAAAGTCCTTGGCCTCTGTGTTTTCAGATCAAGTCCCTGCTCTGCTCAGTCCTGTGGGGCTGCCCCTGCAGACTGCAGTTCCCAGACTCCAAGTCAGCTAAGTCTGGCCTTGCCAGGAGATCTGAGGGCTGGAGGCCACAGCGTATCTCCTCCTCCTCCCCACCCCAGGCAGCATCTCTGGCAGTGGCTGCTTCCTCTCTACAACCTTGGCTCCGCTGACAGGGCTGCCACGGCCCCAGCATCTGCTGGTGTCTACTGGCTTCCGACTATGGGGATATCACCTATCTCCTTTGTCCCCCCACCTAGACGGTGGTAGCAGCTTCCATTTTGTTCATCTCTGGCTTGCTTCACAGGGAACGTAGCCAGCTCCTCCATCATCTGGGTCACCATTTTTGTGTGTTGAAGTCCCTCATTTTTAAATACCTAGAGAGGTTTATGTTTTGCTGGGTTGAACCCTGGGTGATATAGTTCCCCATTCAGGACACAAAGGCTTTCGTACAGGAATAAACCCTAGATGTGAGCTAATTTTAACTGAGCTCTTCTTGCGTGCTCTCTCTCTATACATGTCTCATTTAATTTTTATAACAACCTAACATGATTAGTACTATTATTAGCCTCATTTTGCAGGTAAAGAAACCGAATCTTAGAAGCGAGTAGTAACGCCAACAGGGTCACACAGCTTACAAGGAGCAGGCCTGTGATTCAAATTTAGATAATCTGATTGCAAAGTGCTGGTTCTTCACCTCTAAGACTCACAGGTTTTCTCCAAGATAAAAACCCATGAGCCAGGCAGTCAATGTTATCTATACATCTCGAAGTATTGGGTCTTAAATACATTAATCCTGAGATTCTTGACAGAAAAGGGGTTGGCTACTCCTGGTCCACAGTCTTATAAATAAATTCAAGAAATTCCTGAGAATGACTCATATTTATTGGTTCCTCACATATAAAGTACAAGAAAAGTTCATTTTACAGGGTCATTCAATCCTGAAAGGGGCTTTAAAACAGGGAAAAAAGAAATTTGTAGGAAATATTTCTTCGTTTCTTCTCTGGCTAGCAGATTCGTTGCTGATCTATCTAGGTTTAGAACCTGAGAACTAGTATGATATAATGAGAAAAGAATGGAATTGGGAGACAGAAGGACCTGCTATAAAATGAGAAAAGTGACAACATCATATAATCATTCTGATATGGAGGAAATGTTTAAAAACAGATGTTTGATAAATGGTAGCTCTGTCACTACCATCACCGCCACCATCATTACCATCATCTGAACTCAAGAGACAACTGTATTCTTTCTTCCTTTCCAGCAAACATATCAGACATCTAAGATAGGATGGGTACTGTGATAAGCTCTTTAAATATTCGTTCATTTCATCTTTATAACATCCATAAAAGGTAAATATTCTTTCTTCCCTTCAATACACAAGGAAACAAAGGATCAGAGTGTTCGGGTAACTTGCTCAAGGTCACAGGGATTTAAGAAGCAGTGCCAGGATGCCACCTTGTTCTGTCTGACTCCCAAACCCATGTTCTTTCTATATTCCCCCCTTTATGATATTATAACTGTCTTATATAAAGAAAACATACTTGGAAGTGTCAGTTCACTATGAAATATAGTGGAAGCCATGGACTAAGAGTTAGAAAATCTGAGGTTTAGCCTTGATTCTGCCATAAATGACCTAAAAATTTGAACGAGTTCCCTCATCTCCACAATGAGAGAAATGGATTGCAAACGGAGGTCCTTCCTTAGCCGTTCTCCATACAAAATATATACAGTATTTTTTCTAAAATACCAGGTAAGGTGCCTCTTTGCTTGGAAACATGAGGGCAAAAAAATGCCCTCCCAAAGTTCTCAGGTCCCAAGGAGACTTCGATAACCACCAGCCAGGCTTGCACAGCACTGGTGAGAGGTAGGTCTTGCCCCGTTTCCCCTCAAGAGAGGTTTCCTACACTCTGCCTAATGTCCACCTGATGAACAGCAGTGCATAGCTGATGGTCACTGTGAGACCACATGCGTGAGAGCGGGCATGTCTCATTTTTCCTTTGGCCATCCAGAGCTTTGACGGGCTGTCCCTGAGAAAAGAGGCCCAAAGACAAGCAGAGGAAAGCAAAAAAAGGTGGGAGGAGCTTAGTCCTTTCTGAAGAAACACATTTCACAATCCGGAGAGAAGTCGTGGACTGCACATGTACATCAGGAAACAATTCACAAGACGAGACTTTGACAAGCGCAGCCCTCAATACTGCTGGAGCCCCTCACATGACTGTAAAGGTGTCAGTTTATTCTGAAATCCTCAGAATGCTTAAGGGGCAAAATTAGCAGCTGAAGAAACAGACGCCAAAAAAAAAAAAAAAGTGACATAATCAAATTTGCTTTCCCTGCAACTTGCACAAGGCCCAGCTGATGGTAGTTGCTCAATAAATTTTTGTTGAATGAGAAAACAAATAGCAGAAAAACAAGTTTACTGACTCAATGAATCACTTCTGGGCCTCTTATTTAATATTCCCACCCCTCAACATACACATATAGTTCACATCGAGCAATATGTTTAAAAACAAAATTAAAAAAGGAAAATTTAAAACTTCACGAACAGCTGTTTTAATTACTCTATGTGCTGTCTCCCTTCTTCTCCCCCGCCTGTCCTGACAACCATCCCTCCAACCAAACATTTATTGAGTACCTATTATATTTATATAAAAGAAAAAAAGAGACTTTGCAAATGTTATGATTAAGAGTATGGTACCCTGTAATTCATCAAGCTACAGCTGTTTTGAAAACTTTAAAGGGTTATACAGAAGAAAAACATCCCAAGTTCGAGCATTTGTGTTATAATTATGTTCCACTTCATAGCTATATAAAGTATTTTATAGCTTGGAAAAGCATCCTCAAAAACCGTGCCCTTCATTTAGTCTCTAGAACATACCATGATACGTGAACTTTATTTCCAGTTCATAGTTGAAGAAACTGAATTTCAGAGAGGTAAAGCAATGTAGTCATGTTTATTTAGCTACTTAGAGGAAGAAATTGGGCTCACACTAGGATTTCCCATCTCCTAATCTGATGTGTTGGCATACTGAAAAGGATTCTCTTGAAGTAACAACCTCAGACACCTTCTCTGAAGGGAAAACAAAGAAAGGACAGGAAGGGTTTTGAACATCACTTAAGACTGTATCATCTTGAGAGTCTTGATTCTGAATTTGAAGGAAAAAACTCCATCAAATGAGTCACCTGACAAAGCTGGC